TTTCTCGGTCATACTTTTGTCAGCATATATATCTTAAATATTCCGCTTCAAGCATTTCATACACCTGCTTCTTATTGCCATGTCCCATTCTACATTGTTCGTGCCATGGAGAGTAGGCATCGTATACTTTCATAATACTAGCCCCTTTAGAAATGGTTTGAACAGCTGCGATTCGCAGATGAAAATTCGGCCCATAAGATTTTTTTGAGTTAACTCGTGTGACATCAATGCATCCGACAGACTTTTTTTATACAGCCATATTTAAATGGTGCCAAAAGTTTTCTTGTGCTATGGGCAATCGATACAGTATTTGTGGTACATTACGGTCCGATTCAACGATATCAATAATTCTTTCTATATTTTTGACAATTGGTCTTCCAGAGCGTTGTGCATTTACAATATCAAAATTACCGGAACAGAATGAACAAAACCAAAATTGTTGGGTATTTCTTTTGCTGGTGTCCATCTTTGACACGTGCTCAGACAATAATGAGTCAAGCAATCACAAAACTGTGGGATAATATTTTTTAGTACGAATTATCTTATCATACAAACGCCATATAAAACTCATATTTTCAAGGCCTTCTTCTACTCGGTTTTCATTTTCTTAATCGTGTGAAAACAGCGTCCCCGCATTTGCCTTTTGAGTTTGTTGAGTGGCCAGAAGTCGCAGGGAATTGTGGAACGATATGAGTCGAGTTTTTGGCCAACAAGTTGCGAAACCAATCCAGTATAACAAGGTGCATTATCGGAATGAAGGGACCAATAGTGGTTCGCCCATAAATTCGGCCGTTTCAGACGAATAGCTCAAGGAAGCAAGGAACTCTTAGTGCACCACAGCACGAAAATCAGCTTTCCTTACTTTTAGATCACAGTACTATATTCTTACTTGTTCTTTAATTTTAACGAATACTGCCGCATTGACAGGCCTTATCAGGTTATAGAACTGGGTTCGTTCCGGTTATGTAAACACCATTAACGTGTTAACGGTACAAATACGTGTACATACCATTAATAGGATAGTTTTGATATATCTACCCTCTAGAGTGCGATTTGCAATTTTTCTCGCGCCACTTCTATGCCAACACACACTTTTACACTCCATAATAGTTATTGTAATATAGTTAAAGTTAGAGTTGTCAAAGTGCAAATTGACTGCAACGCTTCAATTTTTTTTTTCTCACCAACCCAAAGAGCGCTTGCCACTTGCTGCTGCAGCTGCTGTTGCTATAAGTATTTGCTTAGCGAAATCCATTTGTACGAAGATGGTGCGCTTGGACAGTAAATCTAAACCTTCTTCGGAAACTGATGAACTGCCTACACACTGCGAAATGAGCAACCAAAGCCAAATGTGAAAAGCGTCAACTGAGCGTTCGTTATTTCGTTCGACGATTCACCTAGCCCGCCATGGTTGGCCGCCTGGGAAAATTAAGTTTTTGCCCCGAACGCCATTGAGTCCAAAAGCAGAAGAGGCACGCATATATGTAAACAGGCGGCTACGTGTGGTTAGGTATGCACTCGCTTAAGCTAAGGCAAGCAGCAGGCAGTGTGTGCGGTGTGGCTGTGTTGCAGGCGTCAGGAATGCAACAACATTTCACGAGTATTTCGCACCTTCGTTGACAGCGCGCGCATGAAAATGCACGATGCGACGAGAAAATGACGAGCGATGTATGGTATGTGCGCGACTACAGCTACACATGTGCATACATACACACATACTCAATGCTATAAGCGAGTATTTGCGCGGTGACAAGATGCGATGCGTCGCACGCACGAGGAAGGACCACAGACTTGGCAAGTCGAAAGCGTCGATGCTATGAGACGTTCGCGCCTGCGCGGTGTAGTGTCTTTATCGATTATGAATTCCACACACGCGTTCGTGGTCGTCTGCAAAACTTGGCCATGCAGCAACAATAAAAACAATAAAAACAAATGCTTCAATTACCAACTGCTGCTGCCCGGGTGTCAATGCTACTGTGTGTACCATTCGCCTGTTGTACTGTTGTTGCTAGTGCTACGGCTGCGGCCACGGCGTGTAAATTATGTGTTGTATTTTTTTAACATTTTTTTAAGTTGTTGTTGGTTGTAGATAGTTAGTTTTATTAATATGACTGCGATTTCGTTGACACCTCGTTGTTGTAGTTTGTATGGTTGTTATTGTATTGCGGCGTAAGAACGTACAGCAGTGTAGTTGTTGTAATTTTTTGCTGTTCCACCATGGTTGTTGTTACAATTGCACTTGCTGCATTAGCTGTTATTGTTATTGTCATCAGTCACCGCAGTTGTCGTCGCTGGCACTTTCCTCTGACACTTCATTGGCGCGCGAGTTAATTAAACGGCACTGCTGATTGGAACGTTTTCATGGCGTGCGCACGCTGACTGCCGCGGCGGCGCGCACTCGCCAGCCTCCTTCGTCTAGCTACGGTGCGCTCGCCATCATTTGTTCAACGTTTTACAACACTGCACTACCCGCCACTGCTGGAGCGCGTCGCATCTTGACTGCTTGCGCGCTGATTTATTCAGTGTGGCAGCTACTGGTGTGAGACCACCAGCCGTGCGCCAGCTTCACCAGCTCCATACTGTACTACACTGCAGCAGTTGTAGCAGTTGCAGCAGCGGTAAACAACAGTGAACGCAAAAAGTCGTGGCTGAATGTTGCACGCACGTGTTCATGTGCGCATGTGTGTATATGCGCATGTGTTCGCGTTTATCGGCTTGTTCGTTCGTTGGCTGTGAAATAAGTTGTGCAGCAAAGTGTTGAATGTAATGCACTTTTTCATTTGCTTAAATTTTTTCTCAAAGTTTACACCAGATTTGCACAATTCTCAGGCATTTTAATGATTCGTATCGCTTCCATAGAAAACCAATACACACACACATATACTTACATATATACATAATAATAGTGCATACTTATTCATATCGACTTCTATGGGAGTGGCCGCAGTAAGACGCTGCTTCAGACTAGCGCTTCAAGGTGAAATTGAAAGTCATATTTAAGTATTATAAGCATGTGCTAGCATGTGTGTATGTGCGCCTTGAAATATTCCACGATATAAATTATTCAGTTATGCATTTTAAGATTTACCTAATCGAGACCCGCTAAATAGTCTAACACTGGTGAGCGGAGAATTCTATTGTTGCTTTTATTTGGACTGTTCCCGATGTACATCTACAAATATATTGTTGTGCTCATTGTTTGGATTAAAGAAATAATAGCTGTGGGAAAAGAAATCATACATTTGAGCTTGTTCGTTCATATCAGCACCCTATATGAAACTTTACCGAATATACGTACATATTACAAGCAGTTATCAATATCTGTTTCTTCGATATGCTTCGAAGTACACAATAGAGCTTAGTTATATTCGAATCTATGTAAATTCTTCCGATATCGCATCTAGTTTGGTATGACCTTTTTTGTATACCCTAAAAGAAAGCTGACCGACGGTAATTAATGGTTGTTGTGTGAGAGATGCTGTTAGGGATTTATAAATTTTTTTGCAGATTTAGTCGATTGTTGACGGCTGAGGTGGCTGGAATTAGAAAACATTGGGGCCTTGAATCAACCTTCGAACTACTGAAGGTTTTGTATGGCATGCTTTGTTGTTACATATTTATAATGGAAAGCGTGATATTTTCTCTCGAAGGACTATTGCCATTAAAAATAAAGTTCTGTTGACCCATATTTCGATTATGACGGAATAAAGACTCACGAGTGTACAAAAATGTGTAGCGCGCTTAAAACATGTTTTCTCCTATTCTGACTTGATATGAGTACATATTTAATAAATTTTATTATTTATGAAATAACAACGGGTGTTTTTTTGTCAGTCTTGAGGCGATATTCTGTTCCAAGTTGGCATTTTTGGAAGCATGTTACTTGATTTATATTCGGTTTGTTTTGCCATTCCATAATGAACAGACTTTCTTCGGAAAAATATTTGTAAAGCGTGCAAATTTATCACTAAAATTTTGGTTCTGTTTGTGCGACGCATAGCAATTGCAAAGTCCACGAGTCTAGTACTTTTGAGTGAGATGAATCGTCTAGCGTTCATGGAAAAAGAATGCGAATCACTGATAAAATTTCTTGAACAAAAAATGAAACTTGTGCTCGTGAATCGGTTTGAGAATCAGTGAGTTAGCAAAAACTTCGAGAATGGCTCATGGTTGGCACCAATACGTTTTGGTTGATTTTTTGGGAATAAACTGCAATGAACTGTAATGCCGCCAATTTGTAGCAAGAGTGCTGATAATCTTCAAAGAGAACGTGAAGTAAATTTTTGCTCTCCAGCGATGTTCAAAAGCAAATAACTTCATAAGTGGCTTTTTATTCGTCAGTTGTGATTTCTGGGGATCCTTTCTAGTTACCGAAACTCAAACATTTGCCCTTGTGTACGCGCAATGACTCCTTAAAGGCACTGAACTGACTCTAAAGAAGCCTATTGGATTATGGTAATAAAGTTTGTACAATAAAAAGGAGTATTTCTCACTAATACTCTTTAAACAAGACGAAAACTCCTTCCATTACTTCCATTTATTTATCAATGAAAACTAATAACGCTTCACAGTTGCTTTTCTCATAGCATAAAAGTGTATAAAAAGATATGTATATCCTATCGGCCTATCCGAACAATTTGTTTGGGGTTTGTAGTGTTGCCTATGGTAATAATCTGTGCCAAATTTCGTGAAGATATTTTGCCAAATTAAAAGGTTTCCATATAAGAACTTGATTTCGGTCGTTCAGTTTGTATGGCAGTTATATGCTATAGTTGTCCGATATAGGTGGCTACGACAAATGAGCAGCTTCTAGGTAAGTCAAGAACGTGTGCAAAGCTCCAGATTAATATCTTAAAAACTGAGGAACTGGTTCGCGTATATACCGGCAAACAGTCAGACAAACAGACGTGGCTAAATCGACTTCGTGGAAAACTTCAAATACCCTGCTTAGTGTATAAAAATTAATATTTAATTAAACAAAATTTATTTATGTTTAAATTAGGTTTATTTGGGAATCCATTCACAAAACTAAGCACAAATTAAGCGTTTAACTATGCAGCCATTTTAACTATATAGCGCTCTTTCATTTCATTACTATCTTTAAGATACACAATTGAGTTCATTTACACATTTAATTTAATCATATTATCATTTGTCTTTGATTTAATTACAATTAACATTTCAATAAATATTTCGAATATACTCTCTAACGCCACACCTATTCCTCTCCTCTCTCACTCCATCACTCACTATTAGTCAAGTTAGTTCACAACCTCTACATTATCATTGCAGTCGTCAGCGGCCAGTGTTTCGTTCTGTTGACTGCGTGTCTCATCGGAGCTGTCATCACAACAGCTGCTGCGGCTACTAGCGCTCGAGCTGACGCTGCTGCCACTTGATTCGTCCTCCTTGCGTGGACTAGCAGCTTGCAAGCGCATACGCTTCTCTGGCTTCTTCAACAATTCCTCGATGGAGTAGGGATTGCGCTTGCGGCAATTGGTTACGTTGCCTCGCGCTGATTCTCTGCCGCTTAGGGAGCCTGCTACTGGTGCCGCGTTTAGCGAGGTCGCCGGCGACGATTTACCCGAATCACAGTCGCTAACCGCATCGCTGGCGCTGTGTGCCACCAAATCGATGGTGCCCTCGATGCTAAGTGTGCTGCCAATACCGCTGCTGCTGCTGCCACTACCGCTATGAATATAGGCTGGACACTGTGCTTGTGCGTAGGGTAAAAATTGAGTGGCGGCCTGCGCATGCTGCGTGGAGTAGTAGAGTAGCGAGGGATGCCATAGCCAGTGCTTGTGTAATGCTGTGTAGGTGAGATCCTGTGCGCTGAGTTGACTCGATACGGCCGAAGAAACTGTAGCTGAGAGTTGTGCAAGTGCCGAACTGCTGCTACCAGCGGCGCTTAATGCGGCCATATGCGCGCTGCTCGGATGCTTAGGCGCTGGTTTGATGGGCATATCACCGATCGTGCCCGTAACGCTGGCAGCTGCTATTAGGCGTGCTTCTTGCGTTACGGTAACATTTCCTCTAGCATTCTCATTGGCGGCTACCGCTGCAGCGGCGGCAGCAGCAGCTGCCGCAGAGCTATAACGAAAATGTGCGGGCAAACTGAGCGGATGTGGTGGGCTGACATGCTGATGCGCGGTGATAGCAGCGTGGTGTGAAGAAGCTTGTGCATGGTGGGCAGAACCCAAAGGCGGTAGAGCTGAGCGATGAACTAAAGTGGCCGTGGGAACTCTGGTACCGTCGGCTGTGGGTGGACAGCCGGGAGCATTACTACTGCCAGCAGCAGCGGCGGCGGCGGCGGCGGCCGCGCTATTCGCATAGAGATGACCTTGCGTTGAATAGGCGACAGACGACATTTGTTGTGAGGCCGCCGCAGCAGCAGCAGCATTTTGTTGACTCGATGTCATCTCATCGGTCCAGAGACCGCTATTTCGCAATATTCTGTTGATGGAGCTGATGGAGGGCACTGAAGAGGGATCACAAATGCGTTGCTGCTGCAATTGCTCGCGAATTTCCCAAGCAAACATGCCGCTATTCTCCTCCTTCAAGCGGATGATTTTCTTCACCACGGTGGGCGTGGCGACTTGCTGCAAAGAAACAAGAGAAGTTGGTATTATTTAAACGTGCATAGTGTTACATATGTGGTATGTGGCGCCTGCAACAAAATATTCAATTAAATACCGTGAAATTAAATTGTGTATGCAACACATGCAAAGTGCTAAACTCAGGTGCAACACGCAATTCGCGGCAAAACTCATACCAAACTGCTTCAAGTGCGCTTTCAATTCGGCCGCATGTACAGGATTTCCGCGGTAGCGCAACAATAGTCAAGTGCTACCGGGCCACGCCTCAAACGAGTTCATGACGAATAGCAACGGAAATGCGCAAATATTTGCAAATCAACGCGCTTTCACATATGCGGTTGCATTCTATTGCATACCCCAAAACTGGGTTCATAAGCATTGCTCCCCCACCGCCGTAAGCGTCTTAGATTGTCGCTTACGTGTCACAGGACAATTCATTAAATATTCATAAAGCGATAGTCAGCACGGGCACTACGCCTACTGGCGCCCCTATCCAAGTTTAGCTATCACCAATACCATCACCCTTCGGCACTAACCGCGATAATTTCCTTCCCCCGAAAATACAGTCGTTGCTGTCCGCTTCGTTGGCGATGCTTATCAGCGCTCGAACACGCTAGTCTACTGCCTTTTTATAGTCACTGCTATGCACGTGTTTAACCTGGTACTGCTTGTATTATGACCTAACATAATGCAACAACAATGCACAAAGCTTCAATCAACATGGAATTGAGGTGTTAAACGCGCACTTTGTCCGACTATTGTTGTTGACGTTTCGCGGGGGATGGAGAGCAAATAAGAAATCAGCAAGTAAATAATGTGTGCGCTACTGTGGCGCTGATTTTACTACCGATTCCTCTAATAAACCATATTATAAACAAATACGTTAATGTTCGCGGGTACAATAAAAGTTTACTGAAACATTTCCTTTATTGAATTGTAATTGCTTTGCGTGAATCCCACGTGGTATTTTGAAGTAATCGTGGAAGTTTGGAAATTATTTTCGCTGCGCTATTAATTAGGGTTGCTTGGATTTTTTGATTGATGGTACTATCGAAACTGTTGTCCACATTTATGTGTGGTATGTTTAGTTATTGCATTGAATTTGTTGTACTAAGTATGTCTTTAACTTGGGAGATATTTTTGGACAATTTCCTATTTACTTGTGGTGTTGTTCTGAAAATAAGGGCCTTAAACTAGAATATTGTGGGTTAGTCTGACAAAAGCCGGCAGTGATAAGTCGTTTTATATCACTTTAATGAAATATACGCTTATTTCTTGTACGAATTCAACTCGATAGCTTTGTTGTTGCTTTTACATGTAATTTTTTGACAAGAGAGCTGAAGCGAGCAGATAAATGGCGAATCGAAGACTGACTGTAGATTATTTTCACCAAACTGGCCTAGCTAAGAGGGTCTTCCAGATGAACTGAAGGGTCTAGGATGGTTACTCTTAAAAGGAACACTTAAAAAAAACACAGTTTTTGGGAATTAAAAAAAGTACTTATTGTTTTAAAATTTCAAGGACATATTTTACCAAAAATTTTTGATTGCTTATGGCCTGCGCAAATCTGATTTTCAGTCAGATCAAAAAACTCATAGGTCACAAAAACGCGTTTAAAGATAAATTGTTGGAGCTTATTGAACTGAGTGCACTAAGTTAGAAACTCTGAAAATATGGCAAATGAGTCTAGAGGGAGTCGGGGAATGTAGACTATTATGTTACACAAATGCGACACACGGATATTTTAAGAAGTGTGTCTTCAATATGAACAAAAAAAAAACGTTAACTTCGGTTGCACCGAAGCTGTAGTACCCTTCACAGATATAAAGGTTTCTTACAATAACTTCATTCCGATCTAATTTCGTGAAGATATCTTTTCAAATAAAAAAGTTTACCATGCAAGCACTTTACTCCGATCGTTCAGTTAATATGGCAACTATATGCTATATTCATCCGATCTATATAATTTCTTCGGAGTTTGCATTATTGCCTCAAATAATGATCTATGCCAAATTTAGTGAAGATATTTAGTCAAATGGCAGCTATATGTTGTAGGGGTCCGAAATCGGCTGTTCCAACAAATGCGCAGCTTCTTAGGGGAAGAAAGGACAGGTGCAAAATTTCAGAGCGATAGCTTAAAAAATGAGGGACTAGTTCGTATATAAACAAACAGACAGACGGACATGGCTAAATCAACTCAGCTCATCATGCTAATCATTTTAGGGTAATACTTTATAGGGTCTTCGACGTTTCGTTCAGGGTGCTACAAACTTCGTGGCAAACTTAATATACCCTGTTCAGGGTATACAAAGATAGGCAACCCGAAGTTTACAACGACTCAGAGGATGACGATGCTGATAACACACTTTGAAAATGTACTCCGTAATTAAGAGCGGGACCTTGACGCAAATGTTGAGATGTAAACCGATCAATGAGTAATGTGGAACGCCACCCTGAGGTAATGCGAGCGCGATTTCTAGAAGGAGAGTTTTTTAAATAGCTGCAAGTGCCACAAACCATTACTGTGACAAAACAATGACGATGAGGTGGTCAATAAAATATGAGTTACTTATGTGTGGCGAATCAAAGACAGATCTTGTTGTGTAGTACCAAATGTGTCCATTAGCACTTTTTTTATATATTCGTATAAGGTTTAAAAGTTAAGCATTTGGAAATAAAGCCCTTAAGTTAGAATAATTTTTTTTAGAATTCTTTGGCATACATATCAACTGCATTATTTTATACATATTCATTAATATGTATGTATGTACTCTTATACATAGAAGAACCACAAATTATAACAGATAATTTATGTGCGCCTATGATATGGATATTTGTCCGCACACATATAAGTATGTAAATAAATTTACGAAAAAATCCGTGAATTACCTCATCACACTAAATAATCTGCTAATAAAGCGCTGCATAGTTAGAAAACAATCGATGTTGGACAAATTCATAGGCAGGGAAACATTGTCGTCATTACAAGTCGCGGGCGATTGCTTCCGTTCTCATAGCGATGGCTTACGATGGAATTTGGCGTTGCCAAGTACATATAATTATTAGCTTATCACAGTGTTGTCAGATTACAGGTAGCAAAACAGTAGCTAATAGCTAATAGCTAAGTGCGACTGACACGATCGTAAATGTTGAGTTTCGTGGAGATTACGCTTGTCATAATTTACACACTTCCATACGAGTGTGTGCGTGTCTGTGCATGTGTGCTTATTATTGTTTGCGCCGAGTAAGCGCACTTGAAGCGGGCGTGTGAACCGAAACGCTCAATTGCAGCTGTTGAACAGGATTCGCCTGCTAATTGCGGCGCGTTATCGCGTTTAATAAACGAGATTGATTTGTAACAGTTATTGAGTACATAAAACAACAACAACACAATGCAGCGAATGCCTTGTCTAACGGGTGTGGTGGTTGAGGCCATTGGTCGGGATGTTGGTGCGTATGTGTTCGTATTATTGTGGCTGTGACGCGAGCAGTTGACACTTGAGGGCGCAGCGCGTAGGATCTCCGCGCTTTATGGCGGTTACTAAATGTTTTATATTCTATTATGTGTTAGCATGTCATGTCAGCACGTACAAATGTAAATAAATATAAACTACTTTGCGCATTAACTTGGCCGTGGAGTGATTTGTAAGCGTTGTCTGTGTTGCAGACAGCCAACAACATTCATCAACTAACTCGACAGGCGGCCATTAAAATTTCGAATCAATATTTGTAGGGGGCGGATGACAGTACAGGTGGGCCGAATATTTTTACTCATATAATACATAAACACAGATGCATGTGTGCACGTTGTGTTGTCTTAAAATGTGTGTGTGCGTCGGTATAAATACGTCAGCCGTCGATCTCTTGGCTTGCCAGTTGATAGCAGAACTAACCGAAATTCGACTTTTATCTAAATTTTCATTGATTTGTGGCTTACCTTAGTTTTGCTGCCGCCAATCGATCCCGGTCGTATGGAACCAGTTTCATAGAATCGCGTCAAAATTTTCGAAACGCAACCTGGTAGAAAGATATGAAAAATTTATAATTGTGAATTAATTTCGAATATATATAGTCAAACTTATAAAGTTACAATAAAATGTATGCTAAATTTTATAATGTAGACTTTATGTAAAGTTTAGCTTATATCGTGTCTAGAATGTTGAATTGTGTCGAATTGGTCCCACAATATTCACGTTCAACAATGTGGCACTGGCCGATAACAATAAAACAAACATCAAGCCTTCTCAGGAAAGTGAGAGCTAATTATTAAAATCACGTAAATAAAATATCGAATCTTTGGCTTTTGGAAACATTAGAGATCTTTTCCCTACCAGAGTTCTCTTCTCAGTATTTAGATATATTAAACAAAGCGTTCTGAGGTCTTTTCTTCTACCTTGATGTCAATCACAAAGATATAAATAATATAGGTATATATATATAAGGGTGGAGTGAAGTTTTTTTTGAACAGTTTAAAGTAAATTTTCGAGTTAAAATTTGTATTTCGTAAAAAACTTTTGATAAGTGTTCTAAAAGCTGTAGCGAGTCCGCTTTCTGGCTAATTAAAAGTTTTTGGCATAAAAAATTTCTTTTTTTATAATGATTTTATATTTTTTTTTTTGCTCCACCTTAATATAATATATAATATATATGTAATAATGATATATATGTATATGTATTTAAATATATAATATATTTTCTTGGAATATTGCCTGGGAGTCAAAACACCCTTATTATACTTCAGTTTATACCCCTACTCACCCTAACTTCAACGGAAATATCACCAATTTATTCAGTAACTAATTTTTGCACAGCACTAACTCATATGCTAGTACCTACTTCTTACCTAAACCCTTTAACTGGAGCTATCTTCGATAAAATCGACATATAATAATGGAGAAAATACAATATGGATCAACACTTTAAATTTCTTTTGGTCATCATATTCATTTTAAAAATTTACCACAAGATGTATTTATATAAAAATTTTTTTGTTAATGAACATATTAATAAATAACATAAATATTATACATAACTCACCATGTGAGACCAGCAATTGCCGTGATATGTCGCACGGTCGTACGCCAAACAGGGCCAACTCGACAATGCGACGGCGCACATAGTCGGGCAGTGGTCGACCATTAACGAAAACGCCGCCCAGCTGATTAACACCAGCTTGTCCTGTAGAGAAAGAAATACAAGAAGAAAAGAAAATAGTTTAGTGAATCGTAACTTATAAAAAATAGTTCATATATTTAGATCACATTAATTAAAAAAAATATATATTTTAATATTATTTTAAAATATAAAATAACACCGGTTGCGACTATGATGTTAGAAGCTGTCTCTTGCTAATTTTGGGTTGCTAAAACCGAAAATGATAGTAACACGTAGGATTTTTTGTATTGTATTCAATCATTTTAGGATTTTAATCACGACACCTCAAATAACCCCTTAGACCTCTTAGCACATCAGTCTCAAATTTTTCCTTCAGATTTGTTGAGTAGTGTAATTTACAAGTTTAGATAAAATGTTGCTCAATCTGCTGAATTCCATTCAATTAAATTTTTCTATTTTAGCCTCTCTTATTATCTCCTTACATCATCGAATTCCTCGATTTTAACACCTAGCCTGGTATGGCCACAAATATCAGTCTTCCCAAAAAAGAGTATGTTTTGAAAACATTGGAATTGGCTGAATGGCTAATTTGCATATACACGTGTATGTAGATTTTGTGTTATGTTGTTGTATTTTTTTGTATAAGCATATTGTGACGGTGCTGAAAGCGGTAATTGATTATGGGTAATTTTTCAAAAATTAGCGGCGCTGTGTTACTGCGCTGTGGCAGCGAGCGCACGTCAGCGATAAGCCAATTTTTTCATAGCAAATTTAGAAAGAGATTGTGCGCGATAAGCAGCCGGCAGACCCAAAAATCGACTTACATATAGTGGTATACAACATATACATTTACAAAAGCAGGAGTGAATTAATTACACAAACATTTTTACTAAACCGACAACGAATCGCCGAAAATACTGAAAGTCTGCAGTGTAGCAAAGAATAGAATTGTCCAAACGCAAACTAATTTTTAAAGTGATAGCGACTGATTTCCAAACTGATAAAATCATTAATGTTGTTGGCGCAATTACAACAAAGTTTCTTTGTTGCAGGAGTTTGTTTTTTTTTTTTTGTGTGTTATGGTCTCGGTTCCATATTTGTGAGAGCAGGTGCTGCTCACTGTTATGCTGTTATGCCTCGGGTGCTAATCGTTTTTATCTTATTATTAAAGTCTGCTATTTAAACAAATTAGTTTTATGTTAATAGTTTCAAATGTGTCGCGATAACGATCTGACATGTCAACTGTGTAGACCGAAGTTGGTGGTGGCTGCTAAGGTGGCAGCAGTTTTAGAGGCAACCGTTGTGGGTCCGCAGCATACGAGTAGTTTGTGGCTAAAAGCGAAGCTTGAGATTGACCGTTAATTGCGCTTAATTGCTGACGATTCATGTCTTGTGTCATATGTCATGTCGAGCTTATCAGCTAGTTATCAACACTTCTTTGCTCCACAGTGTGTATTGAACAGTATTTGTAATGAATATGAGACTATGAGAGGCTTGCGCCCCAAAGCTTATTGCAAGCGTTAGAAACTGTAAGATTGGTTTGATTATTTTAAAATTGAGGGGCAAATCCAACGAAAAGTATGTTAATGATTTAAAGTTCCAAAAGATAGTACATATTTATATATTCAGCTAAAATATATTAACATTTTTCTCACTAAGAGAAGAGTCACGGTGGGTAGGAAATGTTATTGAAACAGTCTGTGAGCTGTTATATTGTTTTCATACCCTGGACAGGATATATGCATATATATATGTTTACCACAAATTCGGTCATACCCAGAAGGAATTGTCAGAGATGCTATTATATATATTTATTTATAAATGATAAGCAAGACGAGCTGAGTTTATTTAGCCATGTCCGTCTATCCGTCCGTCTGTCTGTATTTACACGAACTCCCTCAGCTCTCTCAGTTACCTCAGGTTTCTCAGTTTTTGAGATATCGAACAAAAAATTTGTACACGGACCATTGTAGCGTATAGCTGCCATACAAACTGACCGATTAATATCAATATAAAGATCTTGTTATACCCTTTTAGGGTACAAGAAATGCATATATGATGGTTTGCGTCGGCGGGTATCGTTTCTTCCTTATGTTACTAAATTTTGCCACAAACAAACTTTTTATCCACCAATTTTCAAAATCTTAGTCACTGCTTGAAAGTTTTAAGTTTATATAAGAATTTGTAATCCAACAGTAGTAAGTAATCAGCACTTGTAAATACTTGAAACCTTCAGTCATAATTATCTTTGTTTTTGGAAGGAAAGCGACTTCTGTACTCAAAGACAAAATTCATCACTGAACGTTGTGTTCGAGAGTTTTCAATACATTTTTACGATGACTGACCTAAGCTGACCCCGTAGGCGAATTCGCTTAAATTTACAACTTCCCTACGGTGAACGCAATGCAAAAGCATATACCTTCACCGACAGCAGATACAGAAGCGTTGCAAAAATCGTTCCACCCTCCCGATGAGTAGCACATTCTGGTGTAAAGCAATTTATGTATGAGTATATGTAACACCTCCGAGCTTAATGCACAAAAGGCAGCAAAGTGAATTAGTCGCCGAGTCCGAGTGCAGCGCAGGTAAATGGGGAATGTCTGCTTGGTGTGAAGTAACTTAAATGCTTCCTGTCGCTATTTAAACTTTTACGGTAGTTTTTGCTCTTTTCAATTTTAATTTTTTATGCCTACATACTTAGCTTTTAACTCCGATGTTTTCACCATAATATGCGTTATGTTTTTAGAGCAGCAGTTTGTTGTATCGTAAAAATTTTTCACTCGGGCTGATTTTTTAAGGCTGCCCTCTGCACTGTACGCTTCGCCAAATGGAAAGAGACTCGCGCTTGTGATCGTAAAACAAAAAGCAACAACATGAGGCAATACATCAGCACCAATGCTGCGTAACTTCTATAATTATTGTTGTTTTTGTCAGTTGAGTTGCTATTTTATTATACGAGTACTCCACGAAACGAAGACAAACTCTGCACTGGACTTTTAAATACATGTATGTAAATATGTATGTATAAATATATAAGTATATATACGCAGTGGTGTCTTCAACGCATATAGTATTTTTGTTGCTTTTTTGTGTGTTTTATTACACTCGTCGAGCAATCTATAAACGCTGTATGATCGTTCTTCACTCACGACGGCTGCCGTCATACAGTAACTTACTAAATGCTGCTTGCGCCAACAACCACGTCAATAAAAACAATACAACAACAGATACAATACTCATAAAGCCAGTTAAAACAACAACACAGCGCTCAATAATGACACGTAGAATGCGCTTCGCATCAATAAAACTAATAACCGTGAAAGCAAATTTGAAGGGTGATCTCTACTGCGTTTTTGCATTTTGCGTCTTCGCTTTGATCTTTAAACAGCAAAAAACAACAACAAATTCGTGTTTTAGCGTTCCGCCAACGTAAAGGAAACGATATTAAATTAACACCTTGCCGTGCTCTGATGTGGGTGCTGCTGTGTGTGAAAGCTTGCAAGTAATCGATGGCGGTCGGTTTGGTTGATCGAGTTGAGTATTTTAGGAGACACTTTGCAATAATTACTGAATCTGTCTTAACCAGTACTGTATTCTATTTTTCTTTCGCGCCAGTTGCCGAAGTTGATTTCAACATTTATTTGTAAATTTAACTTTTTTTGTGAGGAATTTGGCATTTAACAAAGATACATCTATAGGTCTTTGAAACTTAACATAATTATAGTGCTAGTTAACAAAATTGACCTATAATTCTCAACCTTTTTATAATTTTCGTTTACTTGCTATCACTTTAAAGAGAGTAAAAATTTATTTTATTAGCAGAAATATTATGAAAATTTGGAAAACTAATTCCAGCTTCAAGCGAAGTTCAAACAAAAAACAAAAAACAAAAAAACGAAAATGTTAACTTCGGCTACACCAAAGTTATAATACCCTTCACAGTTGCATTTTTTATAGCATAAAAGGTATAAAAAATCTTTATATTAATTTTGATCGTTCAATTTGCATGGCAGCTATATGCCATAGTGGTCTGATTTTAACAACTTGCTTGAAGATTATACCATTGCTCTGTACAAAAATATACGCCAAATTTTGTGAAGATATCTCTTCAAATAAAAAAGTTTTCCATACAAGGACGTGATTTTGAGCGGTTTGTATCAGTTTGTATGACAGCTATAAGCTATAACTGAAGAGAAAAGAACGTGTGTAAAATTTCAGATCGATATCTCAAAAATTGATGTGTTAGTTCGCATATGTATAGACAGATGGACATAACTAAATTGGCTCAACTCGTCACCTGAACATTTATATACTTAATATACCCTGTTTAGGGTATAAAAATAAAATATAAACTGTACAGCTGTAATAGTTGTCTTTATATCTTTTCCACCGAAACTTGTGTTTTCTACGTCACTCACACCCAATCGATCAATCAATTGAAGCACCAACACTAGTCATTATTTTGAGATCCAGTAACTTAAATCTTCCCGAAAGTGATAACAAACAATTTGGAAGCGTGTAAATTACTTGAATAGCCAAGCTCCGAGGGTGGCCTCGGGCAACTCAACGCGATGTTGAAAGTTGGACAAAGTAGCTCCCCATATACAAGTATGTACATAATACGAAAGATAAATAAATTAAAAGTCAAAAAACGAAGAAAGAGAAAGAGTTTGCATGCTTAATTTTTAATTTAGTCGATTTTAATTATCACTAAATCAACCAGAAAACGGCGCAAGTTTCAAATTTCAATACTAATTTTGTTCGCCTTACAAATTTAAATCACAGAACAACAACAACAATTGTTGGCATAAAATACAACACGTTTTGTATTTCATGCTTGTTTTTTAGTGTTTTTGTAATATATATATATATGTGTGTATATATCTTCTCATACTAAATAGATTAATGAAGCAACAAAGTCAATGAGTTGCTGGCAATTATCGCGTTGTCTACTTTACAAGTATATCCGACAACGATGCGTGGCAAATGAAAGAGTTAAGACACAAACTTGTTGTATCGAAATCTACTAGTATAGCCAATCACTTGTTTGTGATAAAGCGATTTTTCATGGTGAATTATGTTTATCAAATTTTTGGATTATTTTATTTCTTTTAATTGAAATTTAAATGAATTTGTTTGAAATTTAATTGAATTGCTGAGGTCGCTGCTTCGGCTAATTGGATTTGGCGTTTCGGAAATGAATAGCTAACAAAAGCATAAATAATATTAAAGAGGTCATCATTATAGAGTGAACAATGTATATTAAGCTTGGCGCGTAGCGGGAGCGCTTAAATAGTATATATATTTGTATAAATGACCAACAATTTAAAATTTTGCACACGCCCTTTTCGTCGTCATTAAGAAGCTGCGAAAAGCCGTTATCGGATCACTAAGGAATATAGCTGTCATACAAACTCCAACAATCCAACTCAAGTTCTTGTATGGAAACTTTTTTATTTGAGAAGATGAAGTCACTAAATTTGGCAATATTTTACAAACTAATGCTACAATATCCGAACAAATTGTTCAGATCGGACTACCATATTCTATAGCTGCAATACAAACTGACTGATCCAAATCAAGTTATTGTACAGAATATTTTTGAAAACATTCACTTTTATGCTGAATATTACAGTTTTTTAATTTAATTCTCCTTCCTTTCTCCTTTCTGTTTAAGTTATAACCTTAAAGCAATATAATTTTTTATATCAAATATATGCAAGTTATAGCTCTTCATTTACCTGTATGTGGCATATTACGCGTATTTATGCCCAGCGGTACCTCAGTCCAGCGACTAATGTTTCGGCCACCCCTTCCGCCCACAACACCAGCACCAGCAGTTGCGGCGCCACCACCACCACCACCACGTCCACGTCTTTGCACGGCGGCTTGCGTCAATGCGTCGGTGCAGCTGATTGACAGCAGCGTATCCAGTGTTTGTATAATCACTCACGCACTCAACACCAACACAAACAACAACAACAGCGCCGCTCTCCGACTACTTCTATTTCGGGCCAGTGGTTATACTTTTAATGGCCGCTTATCGCTACGCTTTAATCACTCGCGCAATAAAATTAGAACTGAACTATTTTCTTCTTCTTTTTTAACTATTTTGGTGTTTATTTCCACTTTTTTTTCCTTCGTTAACTCTTAACGTTTATTACAGTTTGGCGTCGTCGTTGAGATTTATATACACGCACGAATCCACAGTTGAGCTATGAAAAAGTGTGGCGCGCTGCATATGGCGTAGCGCTGGAGCGTCTAATCTTCAACTGAAAAGTCGTTGGTTTATCAGTTAATTTGCAGGCCTTGTTGTTACTGCTCGCTGTTGTTTGGGTTCGGTTACTGCTTGGCTTTTTGTCTCGGAGCAAGTGTCTCCAGAATCCAGCGCGCAATCTCGCTTCACTCTAATATTGCAGTTAACAAATTTTTTACTTGTTCCACGAACTCATTTAATGTGCTGTAATTGGAAATTAGTGTAATTGGAGTTAGGCATTTGCTACGGCACACGGCTGATATTACATATATGTGTATATTTTTTGTTACATAATAGTATAAGGTAGTGCTGTGACCTGAGAGTTTTTGCTTTTAGAAATACTAAACTTCTGGTTTTTCGAAAATGTTCTTATAAATTCTGTGGCTGCTGATTAGTCATGGATATGCGTACGCAGTGCCATTAGCAACATTTTAGACCCGCCCATTCGTCGCCAGCAAATGCATTTTTACTGCATCTCAGTAGCTTGAGCAAGCACATTTATTGCTTGTTAGTTTACTTTCTCATTAAAGTTGTTATAAAAAAAACACTGAGCTTTGCTAGCCACTGGCTGCAATAGTCACATTTAAATCGTGCTAAATTTGGCTACATTGCATTACATTTTGAAAACTTGACATTACTAAATTTTGTATTTTATTTTATCATAATTTTTTCATGAGTGTAGAGTTTTTATATAATTAATATTTGCAAGTAATCTGGCAAAGCGGAGTCGAGAGCTACATATTATGTGTTTCAGATAAATTTAAACATCTTGATAACCACTATTATTGAGATATTAGCGAAGCATTTGTGTATGTCACAAAACTTGAAAAAAAATACTGCTACCTTTATCTATATAAATATACTATATACAAAAAGCCAAAAAAATCTCAAAGACAAATGACCTGGAATAATTACGTCACTTCCCCTCCTCAGCTCTTGCAGCACCAAATGAGAATAACGCAGACTTAAGTAGATAGTTTCTGCAGTGTTTGAGTTCATTTGACCCGGTCTAAAATTCTCTTCTTTTAAAATGCTTGCCTTCAAAATAGGCTCATTTTGAGCCAATACAAGCACGCCAAAGTTAAATCCAATTTTCCGTAGACTTGTTATAAGCCTCGGCTGGGTTGGCCTTCAGAGCCTTCAGCGAGTGACTTTTACATGGCTTCAATGAAGTCATGGCGCGTTTCCCGAAGCTAAAGGGAGCCAAGTAAGGAGAAGACGGTGGCTGAGCTATGACTCTAGTTACTAGAATATGACGGCGCATTATCGTGTTGAACAATTTTCTGTACACAAATACGTCGCTTATGGCGAATTGCTTCACAAAAACTCTTTAAAACGGCCTAGGAGTATTCCTTATTGACCGTTTGACTCTGTGGAACGAATTAATGGTGAACCACAGCTTGATTTTTGACCGGCTTTGACGAGGCTATTTCAGTTTCGGCCCATTTTCAGGACGCCAATTGCTAGATCGTTGAACAGTTTCGACGTCATTCTCATTGACCTACGTCTCATGACCTGCGAACTCAACTTGATGTCCTTTTTGCATGACACGCTACATATCCAAAACTATAACCAATATGTGTTAAGTCGATCCATCAGAGATGTTGAAATGCTCTGCCATCTCTCTGATGCCAACAGGCGACTTTCAAGCATTGTTTTTTCAACTTTTTCAATGCTATCGTTATTAACAGATGTGGATGGATGACGCACCGATTTCTGGACACATACCAAATATATTATCAAAAGACGGAATTTAAAACCCACTAAAACTTTGAAACTGTCACCCAACAAAGAGAAATATAACTAAACCACAAGCTAGGAAAAAATTAAGTGAGCAAATTCGAAAACACTAATGGTTAAATTAAGAGCTCAACTCGTTATTCCAACTAAATTATTGCGGACTTTGACTAATTTCTCGTGATCTGGTCAAGTAAATAACACACACAACTTTGGACGCGGCTTCTAATGTTCGGTGGCGGTCCGACGAAAGTTAATTGATTTGTCATATCGTGAAGCATATTAAGATACAGTATCTACAAACACATATGCTAATGTTTGTGTATATGCGTGCATATTGATGAAGGTTCACAGTTGTTGCCACAGCTAAGCAGTAATTTGGGGTCAACTTAACTCAAAATAAAAACTTACCGAGCAGCAGGTACACCAACCAACCTGAAGATTCATACTTGGTTTTTGTGTTTGTTGTTGCTGCTGTTTTCGTAGCTGTGTTTGAATGTGGGTTTTTGTGAATGAATAATATTAATGCCTACAATTTTGTATAATTTTATTCCGCTCTGCTCTGTTTTCGTGCGTTTCATACGCCACGCTCGGCGCGCAAACGCTCCGACGCTTCAGCGCTTATTACCGTAACGAAGCTGTTGCCGAGTGTAGCGGATTCCCCACAACAGGCAGGTGAGCTCCCACTTTTAGTCGCGCTTATGTAGACATAACAACAAACAAATTAACCGCTTAATAACAATATTTTAGATTAAAAGTAATTTTTAACTGCGCACAACTTGGGAAGCGGTCATTTATCAGCTCTGGCATTGTAAGTAGCAAAGCAACAACAACTATTTCAGTAGCGGACAATATTTCCATGCTCAGCTTTTTTTATAGTTTCGTTCACATGTGATGCTGTTTAGGGCCGAAAATGGTGGCAAGTGGAGAGACGAACGCTGTCGGCTTGTTAGCAGTCGCAGCGCTTCTAGCGGTTAAAAACTGTCAGCCTTATGGATGCCAAATGTGCTTTCTTAAGCCCTAACTTTTGTGTATTCCAATAATTAATTTCTTACTTTGCGTGCATTTAAATACCGAATAAATCGAATATGGCGAAAAGCTTCAGTAGAAATCAAGTCCAACTTCATGTATTATTCATACCAACAATTAACTCACTGAGTGATGGTGAAAATTAATTATGGCCTTTCAATGGTTATTACTATTATATTCCACAGATGTTGTTTGGGTTATGAGATTTTTTTTTTTTGTTTTTTTTTTGCAATTACTCATGAATTTTAAATGCATTCAAAAGATATAATGTGGTATTTGCAACAAAATATAGCTATGTATAAATGTATGTATGTATGCTGGTGATGAAAATTTTAATTAATATTGGCACTAGGTAGATGTCAGTGAGGATGATTTGGCTTTGACTTTTGTGCAATTTTTTGCAAATTCTCTTCACGTGTAGACTACTTGAACGCCTCAGAAGAATTTTGTGTTTTGACAACTTGTAGGCGAACAGCTTTGCCATTTCTGTTATTTACTTCTGTTCAGCTTACAAGATACATTTATTGTTAGACCCCACATAAATTGCCAGCAGAGTAAAGTTGTGATTAAAGTTGCCCGGAATTTATGACAAAATACGAAGCAAGAATTTTCCATTATGACAGCACGCGGTCTCATGTTGCAAAGCCGGTTAAACGCTGTTTGGAAAACAGCGCTTGCGAAGTTTTGCCTCACCCACCTATATAGTACAGACTTTGCCCCTTCTGACTACCATTTGTTTTGGTCGATGCAGAATGTCCTCACTGGAATACGGTTGACATCAGAACAGAGCCCCAAAACTGGCTTGATGCATTCTTAGCCGTCAAGTCGACGCAGTTATTTTGGAATAGACTCCATAAATTGTCAGAAAGATGGGAAACTTTCACAGCTTCAGATGGGCAATACTTTGAACAATATTATTGAAAAGTTTCCGAAGCTATGTCAACTTACCTCAAATATATCATTTAATTTAGAATGTTTGAGTATATAATGTAGTCGATTAATAAAAATATTTTCCTACCGATTTCGCCAACATTCTAAAGCGGACAATGTTCCAATTAAATTCAAATCAAAAGCTTCAAATTTCCATAAATAATACCTAAAACGCAAATTTATGCCTAATTTCAATATTTCACACCAGTATTAACTATTTTAACACCTTCTTAAGCAGCTAATGTCTTCATTTATATAAAGAGACAAAAAGTAATCAAGCATATATATTATCACATTGGTGCAAACAAACGCCTACATCAAATCAACTTATAGTCGAGAATGAATAAATGTAACAAAGAAACTCGATCCATCGTAAGGTAGATTTCGATGTTTGGGAACGTGGTGGTAACAAAAGCGCTACAACAGAATTCAACTATAATATTATGCCGATCATAAAAGCATTAAAGAAAAAATATTATAAAAGCAAAGACGTTGAAATGACTTGTTGATGACAACAAAACTACAACAAACAGAATATATTTTTCGAAATCTTCAATTCATATTCAACCGATGATCTTAACGATCGGTGGAGAAGAGAATAGCGGCGACTGCAGTCTCTTCATTATGAAAATGTTGCTCTGCTGCTTACTACTTTAATATCACCGCTGCCATGGTGTTGCTTGGCGCAATGCGTCAAAAGATATTATTTGCATAAATTAAACGCTGTCGCATTTAAGCGATTCAACGATCGTCGGAAGGAACGAAAATGAGCGAAGCAAGCGATTAGATATCTCATATTGGTTTTCTTTCTGGCTGCAGCGCAACAGACGTTGGGATCGGTGGTCGATCGATTATGATGCGCGGGCCGTGGGAAAAGTTTTCACACGCCAGCAAACCGATAGGTTGAAACGGGCGCTGCTACCGTGGCCTCTTTTGAGTAGCGATTAGTTAGTTGATATTCAGAAATTATTATAAACATTTTGGTCAATGGCCGAATTCATCGTATCGGTTGACATAAAGCAAAGAAATAAATAAAGGAAATGAGCATTTTTTGTTGTTGTTGCTTGTGTTGGTTGTAGCCTGTAGCAAGTGGTTAATTAATTAGTGATTCGCTATTCATAAAATTTCATTATAACGACTTGGTTTTTCGCTCTTCTTTCCTTTCACATTATCACAGTAAATGTTGCATTGAATTGCAAATCATTTCATTAAATTTGTCGTTCGAAAAAACAAACAAATCGTATTGGTAACAAAGGCAAACAGCAATAATAATAATGTAGTAACAACTAAATTGACAACGACGATGGCGAACGAATGTAAATTATTTAGATTTATGAAATTTCCGGTGGTTTAGCTACAGGGTGTGCGCGATGCTGCAAAGCTCGATAACACTTTATCGAAATACAAGTAGCTTACTAAATTAAAATGGCAAACAGAAGGGAGATGAGAGATGAGTAAAAAGTCAGAACTATTCATAAATCGCCTAGTTTAAGTTAGTTTTAGTAAAT